TTGTGGATCACTTGCTTTATCAGATCGACCTAGTGTTTCTCTTGACCCACAGTCCAAGCAGAGGCTCATTAGTAGGTCACCAAAATCTGACCAATGAGCCAAGGGATCACAATCTCAGTCTGTAGATTTCATGTCCTTCCCTAAAGACAAGTCAAGGTCACAAAGACCTTATGCGACCACAGCTCTATGGCGCATAGGGGTATATCTCTTGCACATAAATACGCTTCACTCTAAAAGGTAGATTTTTGGCTTTCCCGCGCCATCTATCGATATGCATGCCATATGATGGTACATAGATGAGGTTTTAGCCCCTGTCTCTGTAGGCCACCATCACACACAAGGGTCACACAGTCCCTTTGCTCACTCATCCGGGCATGTTCTCTGACATCATCAAAAGGCTAACCCATAAACCCTCATCGATTTGTTCTTCATGCCTAGGTAACATGAGTTTTTCCCAACCGACTGACCTAGATCATTAAACACAGATTGGTACCAGCAAACCATCATTTGCTTAGTATGATCCACGAGAGACCACACTCCCACTGAGTTCATGTTCTACTATATCATTTCATTTTACAAGTACTCATAAGGCCTTTAAAGGCCACATAAACCTAACATGCCTCTGGTTCCCATGACTACAGCAGCAGGTTTGATCCTTGTAGCTTCTTTGCAAATGGCTTTACCAACTTCCCCTTGCCCGACCCTGGCCAATGTTTTTACCTAAGAGAAAACGAAAATCATACTTAAATTTGACAAAAGAAAGCAAGAAAAAAAAAAAAATTTATGAAGATTACAAAATTAAAGTGGAGGTATACCATATTACAAATAGGTCTCCAACATGCGTTCTCAACAATGGATGCCAGAGATGAACCTTTACTCCATTTTCGGTAATGGAGCAATCAAAGGAATGATTCATCTTCACCATCTGGCATTTGGAAAGGAAAGATCAAGAAGAAAATTAAACTTTTAAAAGGAACTGAAATTTTCAAAAAAAATCCTATCTTTATTTTCAAGTTTTGAAAATAGTCTCATTCAAAAAATCCTATCTTTATTTTCAAATTTGATAATGGTCTCATATATTTCATGTCTTATTCTCAAGTACCACTCTTGAGAGCACAAAAGTCTATTTTAATTTGATCTCATTTTCTATGCATCTATTAAGCTCAAATTTATTTTCCACTATCATATACCTATAAAAAATATTTGAAAATATTTTTAGAAATAATAAATGGCCAAAATACCCAATATAGTATTCAGGGATATATTATAGATGTGTGATATTAAGAAATGTGAATATACGAAATTTGAG